CCACGAAAAAATTTTTTATTCCACAATGCAGCCATGATCCTGGTATAACCACTGAAACCCAAGACCGAATGGGTGCCTCCTATTGTGGGAAGTGGTTTAATACAATTTTCTGTTAGTAACTCCTGAGAAAGGCTATGTGTTAAATATGTGAGATAACAAACTCTCCTGTGGCACAATCCTACTATTCCTGAGCTCCTGGGTCACCCTGACTCAAGTTGGTGGGCCGTCTTAGTGTTGCCTTTCACATGGTAGCTTTCTATCTCTTGATGACTTGAAGACCTGGTATAAGATGGCTAACAATTTTTTTTTTATACATTTTTGCTGCTACATCATGTTATAAAGACACAATTTTGGGACTCTAACCCTCGAGCTCTTGGAATCGTCCTTGGAAATGTAATTGTCAGACCCCGATATTGCTAAGCTGGTCACTAATTTTTATTCTCTTCTCCAGGCAGCTGGGACTAAGCCTTTTCATATTTCTCACCATAAGTGGGAATGCTCCCTGGGCTGCTTGAAGAGGGTTGGAAAGAGGTTACTGAGGCTTGTCTTCAAGATCTCATCAGTACTGCTGATAAGTTCACTCAATTCAAATGTATCCACCATCTTCATTACACCCCTGCTAAGTTGGCCCTTATGGGCTTCAGATCTGCGGCCTCTTGTTCTTGTTATGGCCTTGAGAGTGTGGATCTGTTTCACATTTTCTGGGCCTGTCTTTTTCTGGGCTCTTGCATCATATTGGCAGGACCTCTTTGCCTTTTTTGATTAACACTGTACATTTGCCAGTTCCTCATACACCAGAGGTGGGTCTTTTGGGCATTTTGAATGATTTCACACCTCAGACTCATCCTAGAATATTAATACGCATGCTTCTGTTTTATGTTTGAAACTTGTTAAATTGGAAAACTACTAATTCGCCTTCTATACAAAGATTCTATCATATGGTTAATCTTGATCCACCTAAATATAAGTTGATCTACAAAGGTCGGGCTTGCCCTAAAAAGTTTAGGAAAGTGTAGCAACCCTGGCTTGACATCTGACTCTTTCTGGGTTGATATCCCACTATTTCAGTCATTGTGGCATGTTTCTACAACTTGAGATGATTCTTGTGCCACTGCCGTGGTGGATATGGGCTCTTTATTTCTTCTGATGTCTGAGTAGGAAGCGCACGTGTGTTTGGTTCTGTATGAGTGTGTTTTTGCTCTTGGTTTCTGTATTCACCATTTTATCTTTCTGTTTGCAAGTTAAACTTTTTTTCTTTTCTTTTTTTTTAGGGTGGGCTCTTCGTAGCTCAATACCAAATGGTTTAATTATTTTGCCCTTTTTACACCCTTTACTCTGTTGTTTTTAATTTGGGGCTCCTGTTTTCTTATTTGCTTATTGTAACTGTTGCCAAAAACAAAATAAAGTGTTACTAAACCCACAACAGTAAAGTCAGTCTGTATGTGTAGTAAAGCATGTGGAACCTAAGGGGTTAATCATCTGCATTACGTAAAAAGGCCATTTTGATCCTGATTGCTCTGTTCCTCCCCTTGTTTAAACAACCATCACTTCTCTCTTGATAAGACAGACATGACCGTAAGCATTTTGCACATGCTCAGTTTGGTGTGTATTGCTATAGAAGTTTTTTCTGTTTTTTTTTTTTTTTTTTTTTGTTTCTTGGGAGAGTGCATGTGATCAGCACAGGGCCAATCGGCACTGGTTAGAGGTCAGGGGATCCGCATCCTCCTAGACCAGAAAGAAAACTCCTCCTACAAGCTTTAGCTAGTGCTTGGCTGAACACTGATAGAAGCCACAAGACTGCTCTAACATCTGATGAGAAAAGGTATTTTGCAGTTTATATTTACTAAAATAATTGCTCTTCCATGTTCTGTGTACTGTAGGAGACCAGATTTAGTGAATACAGGGTCCTGGGTTTGGTAACACTTTAAAATAAATAAAAAAAAAAAATTGTGAGTTAAATACTCTGTCCTTATAAACTGTAATGTTCATGACTCCCCTGCTCCATATCTTCCTTGGGCTCTATACCCACTGTGTTGCAAATTAACAATATAGGGTGAGGCAGGCATTACTATTTGGTTTACATTGTCCAAATGTAACTGTCCAATGTTTACACTTCAATAAATATTGCTTGATTATCCAGTTGCCTACTGGACCAATTCTGACATTTTTCTTATATATGTAAAAATCTGCATTTTTTTTTTTCTGCTAGACAATTACTTGGAACCCCCAAACATTATTTTATTTTTTAAGCAGAAGCCCTAGAGAATAAAGTGATGAGTGTTGCAATATTTTATGTCACATGATATTTGCGCAGCAGGTTTTCGAACGCAAATGTTTGGGGAAAAAATACACTTTTACACTTTGCTGCTAAGCCAAGTAAATAGATACCAACCATGCCTTGCTTTAAAATTGTGCCAAACTACAGTACATTAAATTATCCATAGGTACCACTTTAAAAGCCTTTTACGGGTTACCAGTTAGGGAATTTTTTCTGCTTCTGTGATGTTTAGGAACTTTATTTCAACTTCTTGTACCAGAGACACATAAGAAGTTAGAGAATGATTTCCCTTATTTTGGGAAATTTCCTCTTAGGCAGTTGTCTCTGGAACAAGTGTCCCCATTGGAAGATTTACCCTTTATTTAGTTTTCTGGACAACTCTGAAAGTAGAAAAAGTAATAGAGGGGAGATTTCCAATGGGGGCACTAGTTCTGGTGACCTGGGGGTCCCCAGGGAATTCCTTAATTTGCAGGGATTTTCTCTCACTTTTTGTTTTGTTTATGGGACAGAAAGTGAAGGGAAATCTCCCAAATGGGACACAGATAGCAAAAAGAACTGACAGGATCATAACCCTCCCTTATTCTATCCAAAATGAAACAAAACAAAAAGTGTTGCCTATAGTTCTACTTTAATTGAGAAAATATAAAGCTTTTATACTTACTTACAGAACCATTGGCTCCCGTTCACACTGATGCGACTTGTCATGCAATTTGACAAAGTCCAAAGCGCATGACAAGTTGCAGCCAATGATCAGCAATGGAGCTGTTCTAATCGGTGCGACACCAATTTGAAAAGTAGTTCCTGCACTACTTTTGGCAATTTCGGGTGCAACTTGCATATAGACACCTGTGCGTGAAGTCGCACAGATGTCTTACAATTTGCACCTGAAGTCGCATTGATTTTCGATTTTGAAATCGTGTGACTTCAAGTGAAGTTGCACGATTGCAAAGTTGTGTGTGTTCAGTGTGAATCCAGGCTTATGTGGTGTTGGAATTCCCATTCTGGATATTTTGCTGTTTCTTCTGATATCCCCAGGACGATTTTAGGTTGGGCAACAAGTAGCCTAATTATTGTAAATTAATAGTTTGCGTTTTGTTATACAATCATGGCCAAAAATATTGGCAGCTCCAAATTTCTGTCAGATAACCACTTCACCCAGAAAATTGTTGCAATTATAAATGTTTAGGCATTCTCATGTTTATTTCTTTTGTTTGTATTGGTATGACACAAGTGGAGAAACAAAGCCAAATGGACTGGACAAAATTATTTGTACCTTCTTGAAATAATTGCATTCCAGTTTCTGTAATTTGTAATTAAACTCACCTGTATCAATTAACCGGTGTTGACAATATAGAAATCACACCAGCAGCCAGTTAAAATGGTGAAAAATTTACTCAACCTTTCTTTTGTGTGTCTGTGTGCCACATGGAGCATGGAATAGAGGAAGAGCAACAAAGAATTGTGTGGGGTTTTGAGAACAAAAATTGTGAAAAAGCATGGACAATCTCAAGGTTACAAGTCCATCTCCAGAGATCTTAATGTTCCAGTGTCCACTGTGTGGAACATTGTCAAGAAGTTTACAACCCATGGCACTGTAGCTAATCTCCCTTTACGTGGACGCAAGAGAAAAATGTATCAAAGATTGCAACAAAGGATTGTTCGAATGGTGGCTAAAGAATGTTGATCAACTTGCAGACAAATTCAAGCTGACCTTCAGGCACAGGTTACAATTGTGTCAGCTCACACTATACTTCGCTATCTGAATGAAAAGGGACTTTATGGTAGGAGACCCAGGAGGACCTCACTGCTGACACAAACATAAAAAAGCCAGATTGGAGTTTGCCAAGACACCAAAATCCTTTTGGAAGAATGTGCTGTGGACAAACAAAACAAAATTACAGCTTTTTGGTAAAGCCCTTCATTCTACTATTTTTCAGAAAAAGAAATGAGGCCTTGAAGGAATACAGTCCCTACAGTCAAACATGGTGGAGGTTCACTGATGTTTTTGGGTTGCTTTGCTGTTTCAGGCACTGGATGTCTTGACCGTGTGCATGGCATTATAAAATCTGGAGACTACCAAAGAATTCTGGGGTGCAATGTAGGGCCCAGTGTCAGAAAGTTGGGTCTCCATCAGAGATCATGGGTCTTACAGCAGGACAATGACCCAAAGCACAGATGAAAAAGCACCCAGAAATGGTTTGGGACAAAGCGCTGGAGAGTACTGAACTGGCAAACAATGAGTTCAGATCTCAATCCCATAGAGTACCTGTGGAGAGATCTCAAAACAGCAGTTGAGAAAAGGAACTCTTCTAATATGAAAGACCTTGAGCAGTTGGCGAAAGAAGAGTGGTCCAGAATGCCAGTAGAGGTGTAAGAAATTTATTGATGGTTACAGGAAGTGATTGGTTTCAGTTATTTTTTCCAAGGTGTGTTATTCCAAATATTACATTGAGGGTGCCAAAAATTTTGTACAGTCAATTTTTGGAGTTTTAGGTGGAATGTGTCAGATTTGGCTTTTTGTTTCTCCACTTTTTTGTTTCATACCAATACAAACAAAAGAAATACACAAGAATACCTAAACATTTATAATTGCAATTTGTTTTTTATAATTTGTTTTCTGGGTGAAGTGGTGCATTACCTGACAGAAATGCATGGGTGCAAATATTTTTCACCATTACTGTATTTTTTTTATCTATTTATTTTTGTTTACTTTTATTTAAAGGGACAACACAGGAGAACTTAGACCGACTTATACAACATGCTAAGATTGAGAGTGATGGAGATGTGTTGAAAAACTGGAAACTTATTGGTGTTCCAGTTGTCTCAAAGGTAAGGAATTTCCACTATAAAGATAGCCTAGCTAAGAGTTGTGTAACTGGTAGGATATTTTTCTAAAGGTGCCTATGGATAGAAAAAAAACAATTCATTGCCAAATCAAGTGGGTAATAGTGAAACTAAAATTTAATTCAATGTGCCTGTGGGCATGTTGTAATCTTTAGACACCAGGTGTAGCTGATTTTTAGGGAAAGCTTACATCTCTTAGGCTAGCCATAGACTAGTCGAAAACTAAACTTTTTGTTGACCAAAAAATGAAAATGGTGCATACAATTGTGCCATCATTTGTTTTGTTCTTCTGAACCAAATCCAGCATGTTGGATCAGGCACGTTTGATTGCGACACAAAAATCTTGTGTCGCAGCTAGCACACTAATGATACAAAAGACGAAGAATTTGCATTCAGTTTTTTGACTTGTCTATGGCCTGCACTAGGTTGTATTTTTCCATCCAGTTACAGGTTCCTCTGAGATTATAGCAGTACCACAAGTGTCCAAGTGCTTGAATGTGAATTCTTAGCTAGTATATGATCATGCATGTTTATGTTGCAATCATTGTAAAGGGTAATTTCTCCTATCACCTTCCAGAATGGCACACCTGAGATAAGAGGCTCCTCCCTACAGGAAACACAATCAATTTATAGCTGTTAAAAGTCCCCTCCCTTCCCCTTGCCCTCCAGTATTGATTGTGTTTCTCCCTACATCAGAACGCTTGTTTTTTGTGACCAGAAGATTGGGGAGGGTAAGATGCTACCCCTGTGAGGCAGGAATAGGGAGGCTGGGGAGGGCTGAACCTGCAGGGTTGTTCCTTCTCACAGGGCGCCCCCACTTGGCACCAGCGCTCTGGTCACAGGGGAGTGTGAACCGCCGCTGTACGGTGCAAAAATGCCGCCCAGCTGCTGTCTCCTTCTGTCCCACATGGTCTTCTGTACCATTCGGCACTGGAACAGGAAGAGGAGGCGTGCACTCAAAGCCTCACTCTGGATCCTCCAATCCCCCCCCAAATTAACTATATATTAAAGCCCAGCAGCAAGAGCAGGATAGGAAGAGGGAGAGAGAATAAGCAATTGGTATTCCTCTTCTCTCTTTCAGAATCCCCAGGCGGAACCCAGGAGGCTCCTGATAGACTGCCTTCTCTACCCATGAGCTCTCTCTCCTCTAGGAAATGTGGTTATTGTGGAGAGAAGCTAGCTAATTCCCATTCTAAACCATTTTGCTATAGATGCGCTAACAAGCTGGCAGGGAACGAGGCTTAAAGCTTGATGAAAGATTTCCTACCATCTATGCAAGTGCAGATGGTTGCCACCATCCAGTCTTTTCAAACCTCTGTGGCACAGTCTCAGGTCCCAGGCCCAGAGGAGCTAATCCCTAAGGAAGGCTCGTCCTCGCAGTAAAGCCTTAATTCCAGAGGGGGCCCAAATTTATTCCTCCGATTTTCCCAGATGCTTCCTCCAGCCCAAGCCAGGGATGAGGAGGAGAGTAAGGGAGAGCTGAAAAGTTAACCTAGATCAGACCACAGCTCAGGGGAGGAGGTGAACCTAGATCTGGGTAGTGAGGCAGGGGAGGAGGTTAAGCCTGGCAGGCACCTTCCTGCTGGAAGACCTGAAGGGGCGCCTTCAGGTGGTTTACGCCACCGAAGAAATCCCAGAAACCCTCAGAGAGACTTCAGCGCAGGACAAGATGTATAAGGGGCCTAGTTAAGGCCCATGCTAAGATGCTCCCCTTCCACCAATCCTTAAAGGATTTAATCCTACAGGAATGGAAGGATCCTGAAAGGAGAATGGCCAGACCTAAGACTTGGAAAAGAAGAGGAAGATAAATTCTTTTAAGCTTCCCAGGTTGGATGCCGTGATGTCGCAAGTTACCAAGAGATCTGATCTCTCCGATGATTCAGGGAGCAGTAAGGGTTTGATGGAACAAAGGTCTGAATCCCTCCTGAGAAAGGCTTGGGATGCTAACACATCTGCCCTGGCCCCAGCTCTGGCAGCAGCCTGCATTGCCAGAATTTCAGACTTTTGGATGGAAAGACTGACCAAACACCTGTCTCAGGGGGCCAAGTCAGATGAAGTGGCAGATTCCCTCTCAGTAATAGGGAAGTCAGTAGACTATCTGGCAGATGCTGCGGTCAAAGCCGTTAAAGCCTCAGCCAAAACAGCTTCACTCTTTAATTCTGCCAGAAGGGCTATCTGGGTTAAAGCATGGGAAGGTGACATCACTTCGATGGGTAAACTATGTAGGCTCCCTGCTGTTTGGCCCATGGTTGGACAATGTGTTGTCCAGGCCCTCCTGAGAAGGGTAAGAAATTCCCTGTTAAGCCCAAGAAGGAAAAATATAAAAAAAATTTTGTGGCCCCTCAGGGCAGAACCAACGGAGAGCCAAAAAGAACCAAATCAGAAATAGTGTAATGGGAGGGAAAGGCAAAGGAGCAATTTACTCTTTTCCTCCTCAGTCACCAGTTTTAAAGAAACCAAGTGACATCGGGGTAAGGGGCCGCCTGTCACATTTTGCCTCCCAGTGGGAGAAAATCTCACACTCCTACATCTGCCAACTAGTATGAGAGAGAGGGCTATCGCCTGAAGTTCTCATCTAGGCCCCCATAAATGATCACCCTAACCCGCCTTCCTCGGGACGCTTTGAAGAGGGGCGCTCTCTTGGAAGGAGTTCAGGAGCTGGCGGAACAATTGGTGGTAGTACCTGTACCCGAAAGCCAACAAGACCAGGGATCTTACTCCCTCAGGAATATACCACCTAATTATAAACCTCAGAAACCTGCACAAATTTTTGGAGTACAAAAGATTTTCCATGGAGAGTATGTACTCGGTATGCAAAAATATTTTAAAAAAGGCCTTTATGACAACACTGGACCTCAAGGATGCCTGTTTACATGTCCCAATTCATCTGGAACATCAGGTATACTTTAAGGTTTGCGATAGTAATTGGGGAAGCAACAGCCCACTTGACAGTTCAGGGCTCTTCCTTTTGGACTAGTGGCCATTCCAGGGATTTTTACAATCCGAAGCATAGGCACTCCTGCACCTTCAGGGCGTATCGCTGATCCCCTATTTAGATGACCTTGGTCCCTCTGCTATCCAGGTGAAGGCAGATACGGGGAGGATGATCACCACCCTGGAGTCTTTGGGCTGGGTAGTGAACATTGAGAATTCCTTGCTGGAGCCGGAGCAGGTCAAAACCTTTTTTAGGCTACATGGACACAAGAGCTTAAAAACTTTCTACCGAGGTTCAACGTGTGGAAGATAGCCCTGTCAGTGAGGAGTCTGATAGATGCACCTTAAAGCTCCCCAAGGGAGGTCTTGAGGGTGCTGGGACTGATGTTGGCAGCCATCCCGGCTATTGTGTGGGCACAATTCCACTCGAGAGACCTGCAATTCTTCCTTCTGTCGTGCTGGGACATGGAGAAAGAATCCATAGACAAAAAGATGGTCCTCACTCCACAGGTAAAATCCTCACTAGAATGTTGGATAATCCCTGGAAATCTGCAGGGAGTCGGGCCCTGGGCACAGTGGGACCCCCTAATAGTGGTCACAGATGCAAGCTCCTGGGGATGGGGTGCGCACCTGGGGGGGGAAGTCAAAGACCAAGGTCCTTGGAACAGGGCAATTTCCCAGGGAGCTCAGAGCGGTAGGTGAAGGCTTTTGAGAACAGTATCTTGGGCAGGGAGGTTCAGGTCAGCTGCAACAAGGTAGGTCCGTTGCTTCAACCAAAGCCGAAATTCTTTCAATTGACAGCCTGGCTAGTGAGCTTCATATCCTAAAGAGTAAGGGTTGCTAGGACTTAGTTTTATAGACATCCTCCTCCTAAGCAGAAAGCTTGTAACTAGGAAAATTTACTAGAATGGAAAATCTTTTGTTCTTGGTGCAAACGGAAACTGGTATCCTCTACCTCTATTCCAATGATCCTGGAGTTTCTCCAAAATGGTGTTGAAAAAGGGGTGGCAGTGTGCATCCTTTGAGTACAAATTGCTGCACTTTCAGTTTTTCTTGACGCTAGATTAGCTAATCTAGCATCAAGAAAAACTGAAAGTGCACCCTATAGTTAAGCGGTTTTTGGTGACAAGGGAAAGAATTACCCTAGCCACAAAAGAGCGGTTTTCGTCGTGGGATCTGACCAGTATGCTAGAAGCCTTATCAAAGCACCCTTTTGAACAAATAGAGGAGATTCCCTTTAGGTTTTTGACGTTAAAATCTCCACAGCTAGAAAAGTTGGAGACCTACAAAATTTGTCTGTCAAAGAACCCTTTTGTTGACCTTGCCAGATGGGGTCACCCTTAGGCCAGTACCTGCCCAAGGTAGCTTCCTTATCTAATAGAACACGGGAAATAACTTTGCCTTCCTTCTGTGATAATCCCAGGAATGCAAAAGAAGAGAAATTCCACTGTCTTGATGTGCAGAAATGTCTCCTCACTTATTTGCATAGGTCTAAAGATTTTAGGAGGTCCGACCATCTGTCAATTTCTTATGTTGGACCAAGGAAGGGACTTCAAGCCTCTTAAGACTTCGGCCTCCAGGTGGATCAGACAAGCTATTGCCGTAGCTTATGAGAGTTCAGGGATCCCTGCACCAGAAAGGTTAAAGCTCACTCAACCAGGGCTATGGCCACATCCTGGGCAGAAAAAGCGGGGGCCTCCTGGGAACAGATTCGCAGTGCAGCCACCTGGTCCAGTCAAGACAACTATTGAAACCGTACCGGATTGATGTGCTGTCACAGCAAGACTTTGCCCAAAAGGTGCTATAGGCTGTGGTCCCAGCCTAAGGTAGGCCAGCGGTTACTTGATTATCCTCTCAGGTGAGCCATCCTGGGAGGTGATAGGAGAAAAACAACCGTTAGACTTACCGGTAACAGCATTTCTACGAACCTTCCAGGATGGCAGGCCTACTTCCCACCCTAGTAAGGGAGGAGAAGAAATGGGTGCCTATGTATAATGATTCCCCTTGTGGACCAGTTTCGGTAGTTACTTTATTACAAACTGGAGGGGACT